TCGGTTTTGTTGCTAGTTGGTAAATGGCAGAGTTCTTCTCGAAGCTTTCTACACCAGACGAAATTCACACAGTTGTTGTCTTTCAAAAACTGCTTTCCAGCTTTGTACCTGATAACTTTAACCCTGTGGCTCATGGAAACGGCAACGCTTTTTAAAAAAAAAAAAAGAGAGAGAGGGGCTGAACAAGTAAATTGTTCTGTGTTTTAAGCTTTTCCAAAATCGTTGTTTGCAGTTTAATGGTCGGTTTTGTATATGTCTCGTGGTCTGGATGCTGTTTTCTACGAGTTTAGCGGTATAATAGTCCTAGGGTTTTTGACCAATCAGAACACACGTACTAACAACGGTGACCTTTTCACGTGTAATGATTTTAACGTGTGGGTTGAAAACGTTTACTGGTGAAGAGCATTAATTATTAATGCAATGATACCCGGCGGTTACGATTTTATTTTTAGGTCTCAGTCAGCTAGCAAAGAAACCTTTATTCATGTTGCTTAATCAAGCTGCGATGCTTTGGTAATTAGAAAGAAACTGAACACTCCAACGGACAATGAACAATTATTGCTATTGAAAAGAGCTAAAGCCTGTTGGAAGGACACAAAAAAACACCCTTTCCCCAAAGTAGCGACTCCAAAGCCTCCCTCTGCTCCGATTTTAGGACAAATCTCAATTCTTGCGTGAGCAAATCCAGGCGATCATCAACCGCCATTTACGGCGAAAGCTTTAGGAAGGGATCATGGTTGGGAGCATCGCGAATAACTTGTTGAAAACATCACTTGACAGCTTATTGAAAGCTTGCATCAAAATTTAGCCAATGGGAATTGCCCGTGGCTGAGAGAAGCGGGTAATAGGCCATTTGCACGATGACGTCATTTTACTACCACTACCAGAATCCTTTAGGATTTTGTTTTCTTATGCAAATTAGGGCTTTTTTATTTAAATCTCGCGGGAATTACCGAATTTAAATATGAAAGGAATAACGAAAAAGATTCTGGTCATAGTAGTAAAATGATGCCATCATACAAATGGCTTATATACTCGAACGAATATAACGTATGCAAGACGAACAATCAGTATTTTTAGCTTCTCCGAATCTTCGTGATTGAGCAATTAGCAGGCCAGGCCACCTACAATATCTCGATCTGTTATCAAGAAACCTATCAACCATTACTATGTTTATATGTCTTTGCATCAAAATTTCAGTACCCTCACAGCTATGTCTTCAGAACCTCTGAGTCGGAGTCTCTATGTCACATCTCCTGTTTCCGGGGCCATTATTGTTAACTAATTGTTTTTGTTCATTGTTTTCCCAACCAATTCCGTAAGGTCTTAAGGGAGCTGCAATGTCGCCCTAAGATTTGCAATCTTTACACATTAGTCAAATGACTAGTCCCGCGTACATTAACACGTTAAGTTTATCTGGCAGGTAATAAAGACCATCAGGATGTCAAACCTATGCTGCCGATATTTGGAGTCAGATTCGCAGTCTGGAACTCGCGCTTTCCAGCGTTTTGCTTGTGGAGTTGGTCACATGATAAATGACATAGTGCGTCAGTTACTCATCTCATTTCGTTTGGTTGTCTTTATACAAGTGTTTGGCCTTTCTGCGGCTAATGCAGGCTGGTTGGTATTGTATAATCTTATCGGCGTCGCTGCAGCTTCAGTAATCAACGCGTTCTTGATTGACAACGTCAAAATTCCATTTTTGTCCCCGAAGCTTGGAAGAAGGAAGTCTTGGCATTTAATTGGTACCGTGATTTCAACATTGGTTGTCCCATTGTACTTTAGTCCTTGTTTCCTTTGCAAAAGTGATCGTGGACAATTGCAAATGATGATATACTTAGCAGCCCTTACTACACTCTTGTCATTTTCGTTCAGCTTGGTTGAAATTGGTCATCTTTCGATCATTCCGGCAATCGCCAAAGATCATAGTGAAGCGGCGGAATTAAACGCATGGAGGTATTTTAATTTTAGTTTCGAAAATCAGGGGAAGTGAAGCTTATTATATTAGCATTTTAAATCTGAACACTTGTCTCATGAACAACATTACCTGAAATATTGCGCGCAGTGGATTTTCATTGTACGTAATGTATAGCGCGCAGACTTGAAGTATCCTGCGTCGCAGGAGAAACTAGGTCTCCCTGTGCATTGCCAAGGTTGCCAACCAAAATTAACGATGTTGCATTATGGTGTCATATTCTTTAAATGAACTTAACCAACAATGAGTAAAACTGTAAGAAAAGGAAAGGAAAAAAAAAGAAAAACTGTAAGAATCTGGTAGCTGTAAGGAAAAATTAAAAAAAATTAAAGGACGTCGTAGCGCAAATGTCCTTAACTAATGATTTTTTTTTTTGCAATTTTTATTTCATGTTTTTATTTTTATTTTTGTTTTTGTTTTTGTTTTTGTTTTTTTCTCTCAAAGGACATTTTTTTCCTTCTTGAGCGGCATTATCACCTTTATTGTTGCCTGGCTAATATTTGGACAAGACAGCAATGACCATCTCTCGGCGGAGAGCTCTATGGATTTTACGGTAATTAAGAAAGAGTATAAAGATTTAACACTGCCGTTACAGGTAAGGCCGAAATAACACCGTTTCTGTTAGTCTACAGGTTATGACTATAATTTTGACGGGAATAGGTCTGCTGTTTGCTGTGATATTCCACGGTGCAACAAAGGAGCCTTTCGAAGAAAGTGATGAACACTTTTCGAAAAAGAAGCAGGTAAGCCAGCTTTAAAAGCTAAGAAAAAGTCAGTTCATTTCAGTAATACGTCTCTGACTAGAGAAAAGTGCAGTTGCATTATCGAATCTCGGACACCCAGTGCATTAGGTTTGCAAACGTAACTTTATTGAGCTTAAGACGGAATCCATCCGGAGATTGAATAATTTTAATTTTCAGAGGACAAACACCTTGTATCAGAATAATTCAAACATCATCGCATCCTTTTCTACATTTTTCAAGTGCTATAGATGTAATTAGTTATGTGTAATAACAACAAAGAAAATTTCTTTTGGAGCCCAAAAAAATAAATGTCAAATTTCACAAGAATTGTGAAAAAAATGTAAAGTTCTGAAAATTTCGTGTGCAAGTTGTCGTTTGCGAAGTTTGACATTTATTTTCTCGGGCTCCCATAAGAAATTTTCTTTGGTGTTATTACAGATAACTAATTACATATCCCTTGAAAAATGTAAAAAAGAATGCAATATTCTTTACCAATTATTCTGCTACAAGGTTTTTGTCAACTGAAAATTAAAATTACTCAGTTTCCTGGTGGATTCCGTCTTAAACTGGAGAACGGTCAATTTGGTGCATGTGGAGACCATACTACTGACTGATATAAGGCCATACAAAACTGGAGGGCGTGGCTCTAATCAGATAGAACAGTGTTAGCCTGCCAGTTGACTGATGGAAGAATCATGTAAAGGCAAAAACTTAAGTCACATCAAATCATTAAATCCATTCATCTTGAGAGAGAAAGCTGAATTTGCATCTCAATACATTGAAGGGAAACATGGGAAGAAAATTAATTTGACGTTTATTGTTTTTTTACTCTCCAAAACAGAACAAGACATCTTTCATTCCACCGCATGCTCTTGTAACGGCGATGACGTTTCAAGGAACAGGTACGCCTTATAATCGAACAAATGAAGCTTCAAGTTAATCATTTTTAAACTTCAACACCATCTGACATTTAAATCCTGAAGAGCAAACTACTAGCGCAAGGAAGGATGTCATAGCAGAAACCAGTTTGATAATTATAGCTTGTAGGACAAGATGTTTCAAAGTGTTGTACGATATCAGGAGCTGATTACTCCTGATGATATTTCGACTTTAATACAAGTCACATCCATCTTAGGGGCCCACCATTTAGGCTTATAATCCTTATAATGGATCCAAAAATCAAATGGTCTGCCCCCTCAAGCTTCTTTTCCTAGTAACCTCTGTACTCTTTAATTTAGGGTCAGTAAATTACATGTGATAAGCTGAGTGAACATTGTCGAGAGGCCTGGTCTGGCTTGTACATATTTAGGACTTGCATGTTGTTGGCATTTTTTAAAATATATAAACAGCTCGATCGATGCCTACTTTGAAAACTTGGTGCCTGCCAAATTTAACCTCCTTAAACCGTTACCTTATTTAATTTTCCTTAGAATTGTGTCCTCAAGAGCAAAGAATGCATGACGCGTTCATGGATAGTCTGAATGCAAAGGGCAAGGAAGAAACAAAGATAGAAGAGATAGGACAGGCGAGAAAGCAAATTTTTCTAAGGCGATTTGTGGAAGCCCTGTTCTCTTTTAATGGAAACGATGACAACATACCTCGAAAAGAACTAACTTTTGACAACATCAGCGCGAAGGAATCAGCGTCCAAGGGTGAGGAGGAAATGTTAAGAGAGGTCAGAAGGTTGCCCAATGAACGAAAAATTAGTGTTCTTAACAGTATTTTGTGGGGAGTGATAGGAGTGGACCCTGCGGAAACAGCTGTTGAAAATAAAGATGAAGAGTCTAGGATCTCTAACGATGTTAACAGCTCTCAAGGAACCAACTACACAGCATCAGAGAACAAATTGGGTGTTGCTGAAGTTTCAAATAAAGGACACAGCATTCAGCTAGAGCCATGCAGAATAGAAACAACAGAACAAAAAATACAGACTATCTGTTCAACTTCCTCTAGGCACCACACGTGTGACCTGGAATCTGCTCCACAAGTCACACCAAAACCTGAGACAACACGAGCCTGGCTTAAAGATCCACATCTTTATAAGGTAATTTAGGGCTCAAAGATTTTACCCCAGTTGCTTCATTATAGACGTGAACTACTTCTTTTCTTATTATCAATTTTCTTTTTCTGTTTTCATAGGTGGCCATCATCTTCACCTGCACAATGAATGTAATGAGCCTTTCATATAGCTATCTGCCACTGTTTCTCATTTACAGAGTTCAGTTTCAAAAGGTAACGCATAGGTACACAAAGAGCTGTTTAGTCGCATTTAGTGCTTGGAGCAAAGCCTATGAGAATCTAATATCGAATAATTGCCGTAAAACGGCTGTTATGAAAAAATATGAATTGAAAACTAAAGTATCACCCCTAAGGATTCTACTGAACAAAATTGAGGGCGTTCTAGCGCTAGAAGACCTAAAACCACGTTTTTAAATTTTCTATACATTTGTCTGTAAGAAAGTCCCGGGAAAAATTACAGACAAATATATGGAAAATCTAAAGCAAGCGTCCGAAGAACTTAAGCACAGGTACGCCCCCCAAATTTTTAAGTACAATCCTTTGCTTTGTAGCTTTAGTTTACAATTTATCCTTTTTTTCAGAACAGCCGTTTTAAGGAAATCATTCGACATTCTCAGGCCACTTAAGGCATGACTACCTAGTAATTAAATATGCATTTTGGTAAATGCTATTTATTTCAGTGCTCCTGAAAAGTGAACTACAAATCAGGCTGAACGAAAAAAACACATGAAACGTGATTTCAAATAACACTTGACATCGCTTCGTCAATGACGTCACAAAACACGTTTTCCTAAACGGGGGAGGGTTGAAAACCTTAATCTTAGGAATTTTCACTACCAAAATATTACATAAACAGTGTAAATCGTAAATTCGCCTTGTATGATTGGAAATATTATTTATCCTGTTAGCTATTTAACTAATTAATAAGTCACATGACCCTTTTCCCTTTATTTACCGATTCCTATATAACACAAACACACATACAAGGCGAATTTATAAGAACCTTTTTAATAGCCTCGGAAATGTACCTAAAAGAACTTGTTGCTCTTTCATTATCCTTTCCCCATTTTAGAGTAAATATTTTGGCCGTTAATTCTCAATTATCATTTACGTGACGTAGATTTGAGCTTCTAAAATGCACTCATATTGCTAAGGCCATTACGCTACATTTGTAGTTCAATTTTCAGGATCATTGATAGAAGCAAACCGTTCTAAATAGCATTTTATCAAAATATGCATATTTAATTAGATAGTCATGCCTTAAGTGGCCTGAGATTAGATTCTCATACAAACACTGTTAGTAATTTCTCACGTTTGCCTACTCGTCAAGATGGCGTGGAAAACCGTGACAAGGTCTATTTATATGCCTCGTTACTTACTAACGAGCCTCAATTGGAGAATGATTTTTAAATAATAATTGTACAATATTGAATAATTTGTTTTTCCTTGCGCAGGAAGCCATTGCTTATTTTCCACTTATAATGTTAATAAGTGCAGCTGTATCCTCGGGAATTTCAAAGAAGCTTGAAGGAGTAGCAGGATCCAAGGTACTAATCATTAAGAATATGTAACGTATGTAAACCAGGTTTCGTTTACCCCCATTATAACCTCCATTGCATTTAAATAAAAAATATATAGTGATTTCGATTTTGATTAAACGGCAACAGGGCTATTAACCCTCATTTAGTGGTCATTAATGGAGTTTCAGATATGTGGGAGAGTTGGGGTACAGCTCTAAACTTAACTATCGAAAGGCGTGAGTACGTGTACATAGCTGGGATCCGGAGTTTCTAAACAGCATCGAGTTCAACTCTCTCATCACGATTTCCCGTTGATAACAAACTCTTTTAGTCCCCTACCAGTCTACGTTTTTCATTAACCTGGCTTATTTCTTTTGCCGTTTTTATGGCAGGATGATAAGCATGATTTATTTTAAATCGACAATCGCATTTTCTTAATCAGCGTTGCTTCACCTTGGCTGCCTTTTTGGTGATGGGAGCGGACGTGTGGTTTTATTTCATCACCAAGTCCAACAGAGTAATGACCTATCCGGCCACTGCGTTACTGGGTTTTGGATTCTCCGCCATGCTCGTGAATGCGCTTAGCTTCGCAGCAGAGCTAATAGGAGAAAACAAAGTAAGCTCAATAAAATGTGATGATTGATATACAGAGTGCTCTTAATAGTATAGTACGGGTGAAATTAATCATCTTGTGGTGGAATCTCATCAACGGCTTTGAATATTTTGGTTTTTGATTGGTTGATTAGGCCATCTATCTCTTTTTTATCTTTTTTTTTTTTTATCATTCAGCGTCGAATGCGTTTCCTGATATTGGGTCGGTCGGATTGAAAAAAAAAAAGCTAAAAAAATCACAAGAAGACTCGGAATAGGCGGCCCTCAGGTACCCCAGGATGACGTTAAAAGTTAACATTTACATATTTCGATTAACAAAATGCACAATATACTGTAAAAAATGTTCCTTTTTTGTTCCTGGTTTTCTATATGCTCTTACAATGCTCATTTTTCAGATTAAAAGAATTATTTTAAGCGAAAAATGGTTTAACGACGTCGTTACCTTTTTTTTCTTTTTAAAAAATTTGGGTGGGTCTGACGACGCTAAAAGGAGATAAAAAAGAGGATGGCCTATAAAAAAACAAAAAAACTATTCATACTAGGTTGATTCACGCTGTCGTAGAAGGGAGCGCTAACTAGTTTGTGACGTAGAATCACTGAGCCCTAACTTGATTATGCAAGTTGTATTTCTTGCCTCTTACATTGTCCATTCCAACGACCATTTTTTTTTCTGTTCCAGTTCTCTGATTCTTTTTGCGGCATTAATCATGATTATTTATTAGTTGTTCTTTTTCCTCCCCCCTCCTCCCCCTGTTCATTTCCTTTCGGTTTTCCCTATTACCTGCTACGCAAATAGTAAGCTTATACAGAAGATCGAGACAAGTCAAAGCCCCAGGCAACAAGGCCCATTAATCAGGAAAAAAAGCCAAAAGCAGATCAAAAATTGAAAACGTCATGCGGGCCGCGAACCGTTCCAATTCATTTCGTCTAACACCTAACGTTGTTTACATGAGAAAAAGATGTGGGAGGGGATCAAGAGGATAAGAAGGACTCAGGGGGGAGCTGGGAAAACAATAGAAAGCTTCAGCAGTTTTCTTAGGCAATGTGAAACCATTAGGTACTGTGGAATGGATACTTTCGTACAGAATTGCCGTGATTTAGTTTTGTTCGGGCCTTAACCCGAGGTGTGAGATCGTCACGAGACTAAACTTGTAATGAAATGAAAGCAAAAAATAAAGCATCGGTAAAGATGAGCGCTATTCTGTTACTAAAAAGGCATAATGTCTTACTGAGATTTTTTTGCTGATGCACAGGTAAATTCCTTTCATTTTAGAGCACTTGTGGCGTTGTATATGCTTGTATGAGTTTGATGTCCTATCTAACGAACGGCACATTGATGACTGCGATACAGAATTTGTTTCCTGAAGGAAGGTAATTGTTTGTTTAGCTTAAACAACAGTGGTTTCAAGAAATCAGCTAGCTCTTTACGTGTAGTTTTAGTCCCGGAGGTTGAAAATCATATGAGAGACACACAGCAAGTCCGACACTGACCAGCACAGGCCGACCCAATGTTGGTATTCGAATGTGTCATTTGCTTTCCAGCGCTCCGTCGTGAGGTTCCTAGCCAACAGCTCCCAAATGTGGGAACACAAAGACAAATTTTAATTGTAATCAGCTCCCAAATGTGTTGAGTGGAGCTGGCACTAAAATAAGTGTCTTCGCGTAAAGCACAGGGCACCTGATCACGGCCTTTTGAGGTCGAACAGATGATAAACTACAGCTGCTGATAAACAGCTGCTGGTGAGGAAGAGACAGATGTCCTTGGATGTCACCTCGTGAATGATATGGCTGTTTTCACGCGTAAAGGCTGGCTTTCACTAACGACAGAGTCGGAATCGGAACCGTAAGAGCGCTTATGACCTTGTGAAACTCAAAAATCGTAATCGTAAGCGGAGTTATAAGCTCGACGGAATCGGAATCGGAAGAATCAGAACGTTTCCATTTTCTTGCTACTCCGCTTATTACCCCGTTGCTTCGTTCCGCTTAAGATCTAGTGAAAACCAAATTGTCGGAGTCGGAAGCAGAAACGGAAGGATAAGCCAATCATAATGCTCGTTAAAGCGCTTTGTGATCGGTTTAGTTCTTCTGCTTCTGCTTGCGACCCCGACGACCCAGTTTTCACTTGATCGTAAACGACGGAGTCGTAAGCGTAATGACAAGGCTGTTTCACTAGATCGCATAGTTCTTCACGCTTCTGTTTACGACTCCGTCGCTGGCGAAAACCAGCCTTAAGGAACTGGTAAAGCAGTGGGTTGGTATACGGGTGCTCTGCTTAAGCTAAGATTTCTCAAAACAGCAAATGTGAATTGTGCCAAGGCCTTGGTTTTGGAAAATATATTCTATAAATGTATTTTGCCAAAAGAATTGGTTTGATTTCCAGGATTGAGACGTAGTAATTTTCATTCCCTTTGCAGTAACAATGAAGACTGTGAAGAGTGTGGAGATTACGTTCGTCGCGTGTTTTCATTCGTGCCAGGCTCTCTCGCTGCTCTCAGCTTGCTGATTGTTCTGCTGTTTCCTGCTTCAAAAAAGATTTTCAAGACAAAAGGTGACAGAGGTTCATTTTATTTAACAGGCTATTTTTGAGTTGCCTCAAGCCTCTGTTTCAAAGCGAAACTAGGTGCGAAGCCATTGATATGAAAATGATAATATATTCTCATGCAAATAAAACTCATTTTTAAAACAAAGGTTTTACACTTAGCCTCGTTTTGAAAAGTGAGAGTTTTTGGAACTCAGAATTGTCCTATTTTGCCCGTTCGCTTGTATAGGTTTTATTATTTGTCGCTGTAGAAGAGTGTTTATCCTGAGTTCTTATTAACATGGCTCCAATCAGTGGGAGAGAGGCAGCACATGTTACCGAATTCAACTCAATTACATTTGGAAGAGGGAGAATTCTTACACCAGAAAGCTCCTGGTAAGAATCGAACTCATGATCAGGACCCTCCGCGTTCTAGTTTGGATAGGTACTTTTTCGATGTAGAGTTACAGTACAAGCTACTGCAGTATCTTTATATTATACCCTTGGTAGCCTTTAAAATAATTGAAATGACTCAACAATTAGACAGCAAAGAGTTTCACTTTTGCTTTAAAATCCTTGAAAAAAAAAACATGAAAAACAGTGAAGACGATATGAGGGTGACCTGTAAAGCCGCTAGTTGTGTGGGCTCCAATAAGAACAAAAAGACAACAAAAAGAGTTCAGAAATTTTACTGAAAACAAGGACACTCTTCGCAGTCTTCTAGATAATGAGCTTATATTGTGATCATTGTCTTTATTTTTTCAGATTCCCAAACAGATGCTAGAATGAATTGTAGCAAAGACAATGACGCCTTTAGTATGGAATAAGAGTAAATTAACATTGTTAAAGTCCAGCGTTCTGAGAGACCTTCTGCAGAGCTCCATTTCAACCCATATAATCAGCCCTTTAAAAAAATCAATTCAAGTTTAATGTGGAACTCATTTGGAGTTCTGGGTACAAATAAGCCCATAAAATTAGAAAATATACACTTTAGACCCTAATTAAGGTTCCAAACTAGAGCAAGTTAATTATTTTTCTCAACGACAAGGCCTAAAATTCAGTGTTTAAACACGGGACACCGTATATGAAAGAGGTGGGGATGCTCGTCGTCTCGCTTAGGAGTGTAAATTTCGTGCACGCGAAAAAATATGAAAATATATTTGATATGTATATGTTTAATCCTTTTGATTTACTCCATTCATATAATCCAAGTTTTCTCATTTGCATGTGTTTTAACATGGTCTCTTTTAAGGGTCAAAAAAGTTTGGGCCACGCCCAGATCGGTCTCCTTTAGGGGTTTAATTCAAAATTTCCGACGAGCATCCCCGACCCTTTAATATGCGGAGTCCCCCTCCGGAAAATAGGTTTGCTATGTTAATTAGAGAACCACAAGACTGAGGCAATTACAGAAAGCTCCGCGATCGCTGAAGGAAATCTGATACTTCCGATTGTAAACCTCGATCATGCAGAGGGTAATTTTTTTTTTGCCTGGCAGGTTATAAAAATGGTCTCACCAATTCAGTATTCATGCAGTCTTTTGGAAAGGCCGGTGTGAAGGCGTGTTAAGGGGAGATTTTCCCGCTTGTTATAAAGTTTAGATAGCATTTCTCAAGCAGCGCCGTGCCGCCTCTCTGAGTGCATGTGTTCAACTGACTGTTAGTTAGACTCAATGGTTGTCTTTACACTAGGCTGTTACGTAAGAATTAAGGGCTGCTAAGTTTTCCTTAGGGTGATTCCTTAAAAAAAGAACCTAACATAGATTGTAGATGAAACTTAGTGCACTGATGTAACAAGTCAAGAAGATGATAAAAAAGTAATAAAAATTGGGGGTCACCGTGCTCGTTTTGACGTCACAATGCTGACCAATACGGCTATTTAGGACCCTTTTACAAAAACCGCAGGCAGCACAAAACTAGACAGAAAGGAGAGTTTTTTTTTTCGATGGTGCATGTGGTATCACACAGAATTTGACTTTAATGTATTGTTTATCCACTTACGTACCAGAAAAATGCCTTTTAATGCCCTTGTTTTTACTTTACGCTCCAAAGTAGAATTAAATTGGACACGCGCTATTCGACCCGTCATAACCCAATCCGTACAATTTAGTAAAATTGCCAAACAACTGAACATAGATTTGTGCCAATTTTTGTCTCATCGAAAGGAGGCACTGTCCTTATTAAAATCATGATATAAAAAATGGGGTTACGGCACTCGCTTTTGCGGTAGAGCTACAGAAAGTGCGCACCAAATGCATTTCCTCCTATTTTTGAGAGAGGATTGGAGCGAGTGTCAAAAATAGAATGTATGTGAAAGGGGGAAGAAAGTATTAATCCGTTTTTACAGAATTTACATCGAGATATCACATTTAGGACTTAATGTGATAAAGAAAGCGTTTAAATGAAAATCAAAGTGAGTAAGCACAAGTTAAACATCTACTATCGAGGTTCTCCGAGAGGAAGTCGGACTCAGCAACACGCGTGCTGCTTACGTTATGCACATTCCCAACACATCGAGTCTCACCTCGGCAAGAAACAACAGCGAGCAAAAATTCCAATAGCGTTTCTCTTCAGTCAACTTCATTTTCATATTGTTACTTCACATGCTCTTTTTTACGGCGGCCATCTTGTTATGCGCAGTAAGAGATGCGCAGTGAAAGACCAGGGAATCACCTTAACCAAAAATGCGTGTGTGAAGGCCTAAGTAAAATCTCAAGTAACTTTACTTTGCATCTCATTAAAGTCAGAGAGTTGAAACGATTCAAGAAAGTTTCAAGCGACTTGAAAACCATCCTTAATCAATCTTAATTATGTTGCGTGGGAGAGTAGTCTTAAGTTAACCTGAAGTAAAAAAGAATCGGTTGTGTGTGAAGCTTTATTTTACTTGAAGTAATTAAAATTTACTTGTCTTGAAATATTTCTTAGCTTATTTAGGCTCTACTAAAGACTACCAATGTAGTCTTCCATCTCCCTCTAATGTAAATAGTTTCCAAATTTTGGTTCTCTTTCCTTGAAATGATAGAAATTTGCCGATTTATGACCAGTTAGGCAGAGTTTTTAAGTTCTTCGATCACTGGAATAACATAGAATTGACAAAAACTTAATGACGTTACAAATTTCTCGTCGTATAGTTACTGCCAATTTATCTATTCTTCTCTCAATGTACATACTGCCTGGCAAATAAAAAATGAACTGTATTTTCCTCTGGACACTTCCGTAACTCACTTGATATTGTATAACAGTAATGGAAATTAGATTTCCTCTCTTAGGCAAGACTATATAGCTAGCATAACAGGCGCTATTTTTTAGCGTTTTTTCAGGCAAGGGCAGATTATCGCAAGGTGTGCTTGGGATGGCGTGGGCGAGCGTGCGGGGGTCAGAGCGCCAGACAGGCGCGACAGTGGAAGGCGCAGATAAAAAAAAATAACATAAATTAAATAATATTAAGAATGAATATTTAAGATTTTGATAATAATAAACGCCTGAAAACGCCTGTTTTGTAGGCTAGCAAGACTAATACCAATTTGTATCACCAGTGTTACAAAAATGTATGCTACTTACATCAAACGACCAGACCGTACCATAAACTTACTAGACAATATCGGTTTTATTTTTAAGTTAACAATCTCTACAGATGAATATATATAGGATTGTGTGGAATCACCTGCAGACTTACTGGCTTCTAGTTTTTTATATTTCTACCAGCCCATTTATTTCTAAGCTTGTAAATGAAAAGGTCTGAGCCACCCCAACAAAACACTGTGTGAAAAATATAGCCCATCAATTGATACGAAATTTACCGACTTAAAATTGAAGAATACAAGAGCCGGATATATCCCGTGATCGAGGATTTCAGAAACGTGACTTCGTTGCATGCATAATATGTGGAGCATTAAAAAATTGACACGCACGAACTGAGCATTTTGAAAGTCTTCCTAATTATTGCAGTGCTTTAGAGTATGACTGTGCTGACTGATCCATTTTCCAGTATTAGAACCAGACAGGAAGTTCATCGATACAGTGGGAGTAACTGGGATCACGTACACTTCCTCCATTCCGATGTGTAGTGAAGTGACGCCTTTATTTATAGAGACCGGTACGAACACTTGACAGTTATGGTCTAAACTGATAAAATTGTGGCCCAAAGGAAGCTGGAGGAAAAAAAAAACGCCCTTCCTTTGTGGAAACATCTTCTTTGGCATTCATTATAGATCGAATTAAACTATTCTCCCGCTCCACTTTGAAAAGAAAATAATGTAATTTGACAGAAAAATCACAAATAAGATACAGAAGACATGATATACTAGGCAAATGGAGTTGAATGTTGATGACCACGCTGTAGGATTACGTCAATGCAAAGTGCTTCTTTATGGTCAAAGGTACTCAAGCATTTATGATTATTCGATCATACGTTTCATGATAATGTACTTCGATTACTTCGATGTGTGGTCCGGGGCTTAGCGCCCTTATGACTTCTGTTTTTTCTTCACATTTTAGTGATAATTTTAAACACCACTCATTGCATTTTCTTCAAGCGAACATCTTACCGAGAACCCATTACGTTGCACAAAGCAGATGCCCTTAAAATTCTAACTGCATCAATTCATCCATGACTTCTTGCGTTATCAATAAGAATAAAAGTATACACCCCTGACCTTGAGCTTATGTAAATCTTTTTTCTAAAAGGTGGGTTTAAAAACATCCCGTCCAGTCAATGATGATGTAAATTTTGTTAGCCGACGAAGATTGTATATAACTATTTTGGATTTCCTGTAACGCTTACAAATAGCTTTGTTAGCTTTGTGAATCAGTTTAACTTTCAGAAACGGAAAAACGTTTCATTTATTTACCTTGCTGGGTTCTCTTGAAAGGTGAGTACCCATATTTTAGTGGATATTTTTCCTTTTATTTTTATTACCTAATAACCCACTTCAACTGTTATAACTAAAATGAGTAATTTTTAAAAGCAGTGATTTGAATTATTTTTGGCCTTCGCCTCGGTTTTGATATCTCAACTCCATATGTTCTGCTACGGTCTTTCCAAGCTTTTCGGGATCTTCACTACAGTTTCCAATTGGCTATGTGATTCACAAGCATGTTTGTCCGTTAATCACTGACATTTGATACGGGATTCGGAATCAAAGTCGTCGACATTAAGATCCAACGACGCGACCTCTACGAGAACGTCGCTTAAAAAGTGAATTTGCGTTCTTTCAGTCTTTATCGCAATTGTTCCTACCCACTGACTTTGTCAAATCCAGGCGAACCCTCCTGGAGTTGAATTCCTAGGGACCATATTCAAGTTAAGAAAGAGAAATCAATTTCGTCGTTGCCTGTTTACGAAGTCCATAAAGGTGGTGTTACGCGAGACGATTCGCAACGACGATTTTCGCGACAACACATAAGTCAACGTTGCAATGTTGGAAAAATGTGGTAGCTATTCGAAACAACGTGGCAACAATGTTGCAATGCTGTGTTGCGCTAAAATCGTCGTTGCGAATCGTCTCGTGTAACATCACCCTAAAAAGCGAAAAAAGGCATTTTCACGTCGTAGTCATGCAAAAACGGGCAAAGAAATGTACAAACAAGGTTAGCGTGTAATGCACGTGCAAAGTTGTTGTTTTGCTTAAAAAACCTGTTTTTTTTTTTTGAAGGTCTCGTTGTCGTCCGCTTCGTTGGGTCTTAAAGTCCTTAATATCTTTCTACATCAAGAAACTCCTTCTTCAGTGATACTTTTAATTCTTGTCTTTCATTTTAATAATTCTCTTACCCCAATTTCTGGAAGTAAATGCAACGTAAGGCAATTTTAGTAGCAAAATAAAGTGCCTAATGATGTAGGAGTTTGACTCAAGTCAGTTGACCAAAAGATTAGGTTAGACTAAATTAAAAAGTAGTTTCCAGAACATCCCTCGTTGAAGTTGAACCTATACAGGCTGACTGTGTTTATTCAATTTGAACTTGATAATGGCCTGGAATTAGACTGATTCAGAAACTATTTCTATTAGATAAACGACTCTAGTCATATAAATAAATAGGTGTGGCTTTATAAAAACGCAGGCTTTAATACACGATTCTCGCGTTTTTATTCTAACCGACAATAACTATAAAAAGATTAACGAAATATTTCACAAGGTCAAGTCCTAGGTGCGACCATTTAGGTTATGCATAACCGGCATAAAGACTGACAACCTATAAATAAGAATTTATTTGATTTGACTGTTCTTCGACTCGACCTTAAAACGTTAAAAATATCAGTGGAGTTCAGTTGGGTTGTTTGTAAAACTAAACCTCAAGTTAAAAAAATGCATGTTTATCTTTTGTCAGCAAATTACAAGCATGGGAATATCTAAACTTTGCTGCCATTATTCGGAGTCAGGTTTGAACTCTCGAACGCCATTCTTCCAACGCTTTGCCTGTGGAGTTGGTCACGTGATGAATGACATCACTCGTCAGCTTCTGTTTTCATTTCGTTTGGTTATATTTATGCAAGTGTTTGGTCTCTCTGCTGCCAATGCCGGCTGGTTGATGCTTTACGGACTTTTCATTGTTGCAGTATCTTCAGCAATCTGCGCGTTCCTGATTGACAACGTCAAAATTCCATATTTGTCCAAGAGGCTTGGAAGAAGGAAGGCATGGCATTTGATAGGCATTGTGGTGGGTGCAATTGTCACTCCATTCTACTTCAGCTCCTGTTTCCTTTGTCAGAGCGATCAAGGGCAATGGCAACTGATGATATATATCGCAGGTCTTAATACAATCTTGTCATTTTCATTCGGCATGATTGAAATTAGCCATCTTTCGATTATCCCTGCCATCGCTAAAGATCAAAGCGAAGCTGTTGAATTGAACGCATGGAGGTATGGCATTTTTTTTTTTTATTTATCCTCTCAGTAACATTAAATTGAAATTTCTTTTGTATTAAGGTGGTTTTAAGTTAAGTTGTTCGTCGATGTTTCAAGTGAACTGAGGAGACACTGGGACTGCGACCAATGTAATTGGCTCACCGTTGTTGTGGCACCCCTGCCTATTAAGCATTTAATTATTACTCACTGTTCAGTAACAGGCGAAGGTAATAAAATAAAATAAATAAACATATAAGTCTGAAATTTTCTTATCACAGTTTATTCGTTTTCTTAAAGGACTGCTTTTTCCTTCTTGAGTGGCATTGTGACCTTCATCGTGGCATGGTTGATAATAGGACAAGATAGCAGCGACCATATATCGGCAGAGAACTCGATGGACTTTACGGTATAAATACTTGGAATATTACTTAAACAATATAAATATATATTGCGCGCACGAAAGCACGTTCTTTTAGCTTCTTTTCTCCTTAACATTTCAGGTTTTGACTTTAATTCTGGTTGGAATAAGTCTACTATTTGCTGTAATCTTTCACGTTGGAACAAAAGAACCTTCTGAAGAAAGTGTTGGAGAAATATCCAAAAACGAACCGGTAAGATTTGGTAAATGTTTACCTAATAACCCACCCTTAATATAAATATCCGGAACCAGTAAATATTAAATATTAATTGTAACTCAGTAACAGCTTTTCCGCGTAACTTAAATCGGTACGGTTCGGAAGGTGCATTATAGAGAACGCAGAGAGTTCCAAACTGTCTTTGGCACTAGGACAAAGCTCGCTTTAGACCATACGGAGAAGACAAACTATGAATTGAATAAATGACGTTATAATTGTTTAATAAGAATATGAAACTAAGCTAGGAGGGTTAAATCTAAACTTGCCTTTGGTGCGATTATTTTTAATCTGAAGCTGTTTTCTCCTTTTCTCCTTTTAGAGAAAGTTATCTTTTATTTCATCACACACCGTGGTTAGCGAGATGATGTTTCAAGGAAAAGGTATGATTAATTAATTCAACCCAAATTTATCAAGTGTAGCTTCACCAATTTGGTTTGGACACTCCAATCACGTTTGGCATGATGTAGGGAGTCGTATCTCCAAACACGGCCAGACGTACCAATTCGAAAGAAGGATACTCACAAGCGGTTTAGTAAGGAAATGTTTCTTGCAAATGCCTATTGATATGGCACAGCCCAGTTTTTTTTCTTGGAATAAATTTCCAGGTTACGCGGCTGTTTGTTGCCTGTTGTCGGTTGCCAACAATATACGTTCAACAAAAACAGCGTTTTCAGATGACGTCACGTCCGCCATATTTATCGTTACAAAACTATAAAATGTCAGCCATGTTGGTGTATCAAACCAGTCCTTTGACAGTTGAACCTTTTTCTTGCATAAGAACTTTCTTTTGTTGCAATAAATTTGCATAGTAACAGGTCATGTGAGTGGAAACGCTTTATACAGCTATTTCGAGAAAGGCCGTCCAAAAATTTGCGCACGCGACAATCCCGGAAGATAATATGGGATATGATCAATTCACTGTAGTTCCTATACAGTAGCTGTCGAACTTAATTTTTTTGCTTTCCACAAGCACTCGCAAACATACGTCCATGGCCTTTCGTGCCATTCTCTCAAATTTCGTTGAGGAATTTGAGTGAACGCAATGCCACCCACATTACCTTTCGGGATTGTCGCCTGCACTTTTTCCGACATCCTTTCTCGAAATAGCTGTATATTGCAGTAATTGTAACTGCAGCAGCTTTAAGTTACAAGTTAATTAAGTTTTTAACAATTTCATTTTTCTTCTGCCAAGATGTGAATCTTCAAAAGCGAACAATGCGTGACGCTTTCATCGATGGTATGAAGCCCAAGGCCGAAGGAAATAAGACAGGCGACACTGAGAAACAACCTTCGAGAAAGCAGAGTTTTCCCAGGCGCTTTATCCAAGCGCTGTTTTCTAATGAAGAAAATGACGATAATATAGCTGGAGAACAATTACCGGCTGACATCAAGAGCTTGAATGAATCAGCTTCTAAACGCTCAGGCGAGATAGACGGGTGTTCTTCTTTTAAACCAAAAGATCAGGGCCAGGAAGAAATGTTAAAAGGCGTCAAAAGTTTGCCTAATGAACGAAAAATAAGTGTTCTTGTGAGTATAGTTTATGGATTGATAGGAGTTGACCCCGCTACTGATGAACAGATGAACGAAGAGTCAAAGATGGATACAAACTCTGAGTCACCGGGGAACATTGTTGGTAAAGTATTCGGCATTCAAGAGACAAACATCGGAAAAGGAGCAACAGATTTCAAAGCTAACTCTTCAGTTTCTATCGAGCACCTTGGTGTTGACAATAAAGGATATAAGAGTGAAACAGAATTGGGTGTTCCTGCGTTACAAAACAACAAGACCAAAACAGTTCCCCGAGTTACATCCGGTGACCTCGAATCTGCACGTCCAGTTTCGCCCAAACCTAAGACAGTACGAGCCTGGCTCAAGGATCCACATCTATATAAGGTGATTTAGGTTCTTGGTTTTTTTCTGCTTTTGCTTTTGCTTTTTTATATTGGGATTTGTAAGTTTTTCTGCTTTGCCTGTGGAGTTGGTCACGTGATGAATGACATCACTCGTCAGCTTCTGTTTTCATTTCGTTTGGTTATATTTATGCAAGTGTTTGGTCTCTCTGCTGCCAATGCCGGCTGGTTGATGCTTTACGGACTTTTCATTGTTGCAGTATCTTCAGCAATCTGTGCGTTCCTGATTGACAACGTCAAAATTCCATATTTGTCCAAGAGGCTTGGAAGAAGGAAGGCATGGCATTTGATAGGCATTGTGGTGGGTGCAATTGTCACTCCATTCTACTTCAGCTCCTGTTTCCTTTGTCAGAGCGATCAAGGGCAATGGCAACTGATGATATATATCGCAGGTCTTAATACAATCTTGTCATTTTCATTCGGCATGATTGAAATTAGCCATCTTTCGATTATCCCTGCCATCGCTAAAGATCAAAGCGAAGCTGTTGAATTGAACGCATGGAGGTATGGCATTTTTTTTTTTTATTTATCCTCTCAGTAACATTAAATTGAAATTTCTTTTGTATTAAGGTGGTTTTAAGTTAAGTTGTTCGTCGATGTTTCAAGTGAACTGAGGAGACACTGGGACTGCGACCAATGTAATTGGCTCACCGTTGTTGTGGCACCCCTGCCTATTAAGCATTTAATTATTACTCACTGTTCAGTAACAGGCGAAGGTAATAAAATAAAATAAATAAACATATAAGTCTGAAATTTTCTTATCACAGTTTATTCGTTTTCTTAAAGGACTGCTTTTTCCTTCTTGAGTGGCATTGTGACCTTCATCGTGGCATGGTTGATAATAGGACAAGATAGCAGCGACCATATATCGGCAGAGAACTCGATGGACTTTACGGTATAAATACTTGGAATATTACTTAAACAATATAAATATATATTGCGCGCACGAAAGCACGTTCTTTTAGCTTCTTTTCTCCTTTACATTTCAGGTTTTGACTTTAATTCTGGTTGGAATAAGTCTACTATTTGCTGTAATCTTTCACGTTGGAACAAAAGAACCTTCTGAAGAAAGTGTTGGAGAAATATCCAAAAACGAACCGGTAAGATTTGGTAAATGTTTACCTAATAACCCACCCTTAATATAAATATCCGGAACCAGTAAATATTAAATATTAATTGTAACTCAGTAACAGCTTTTCCGCGTAACTTAAATCGGTACGGTTCGGAAGGTGCATTATAGAGAACGCAGAGAGTTCCAAACTGTCTTTGGCACTAGGACAAAGCTCGCTTTAGACCATACGGAGAAGACAAACTATGAATTGAATAAATGACGTTATAATTGTTTAATAAGAATATGAAACTAAGCTAGGAGGGTTAAATCTAAACTTGCCTTTGGTGCGATTATTTTTAATCTGAAGCTGTTTTCTCCTTTTCTCCTTTTAGAGAAAGTTATCTTTTATTTCATCACACACCGTGGTTAGCGAGATGATGTTTCAAGGAAAAGGTATGATTAATTAATTCAACCCAAATTTATCAAGTGTAGCTTCACCAATTTGGTTTGGACACTCCAATCACGTTTGGCATGATGTAGGGAGTCGTATCTCCAAACACGGCCAGACGTACCAATTCGAAAGAAGGATACTCACAAGCGGTTTAGTAAGGAAATGTTTCTTGCAAATGCCTATTGATATGGCACAGCCCAGTTTTTTTTCTTGGAATAAATTTCCAGGTTACGCGGCTGTTTGTTGCCTGTTGTCGGTTGCCAACAATATACGTTCAACAAAAACAGCGTTTTCAGATGACGTCACGTCCGCCATATTTATCGTTACAAAACTATAAAATGTCAGCCATGTTGGTGTATCAAACCAGTCCTTTGACAGTTGAACCTTTTTCTTGCATAAGAACTTTCTTTTGTTGCAATAAATTTGCATAGTAACAGGTCATGTGAGTGGAAACGCTTTATACAGCTATTTCGAGAAAGGCCGTCCAAAAATTTGCGCACGCGACAATCCCGGAAGATAATATGGGATATGATCAATTCACTGTAGTTCCTATACAGTAGCTGTCGAACTTAATTTTTTTGCTTTCCACAAGCACTCGCAAACATACGTCCATGGCCTTTCGTGCCATTCTCTCAAATTTCGTTGAGGAATTTGAGTGAACGCAATGCCACCCACATTACCTTTCGGGATTGTCGCCTGCACTTTTTCCGACATCCTTTCTCGAAATAGCTGTATATTGCAGTAATTGTAACTGCAGCAGCTTTAAGTTACAAGTTAATTAAGTTTTTAACAATTTCATTTTTCTTCTGCCAAGATGTGAATCTTCAAAAGCGAACAATGCGTGACGCTTTCATCGATGGTATGAAGCCCAAGGCCGAAGGAAATAAGACAGGCGACACTGAGAAACAACCTTCGAGAAAGCAGAGTTTTTCGAGGCGCTTTATCCAAGCGCTGTTTTCTAATGAAGAAAATGACGATAATATAGCTGGAGAACAATTACCGGCTGACATCAAGAGCTTGAATGAATCAGCTTCTAAACGCTCAGGCGAGATAGACGGGTGTTCTTCTTTTAAACCAAAAGATCAGGGCCAGGAAGAAATGTTAAAAGGCGTCAAAAGTTTGCCTAATGAACGAAAAATAAGTGTTCTTGTGAGTATAGTTTATGGATTGATAGGAGTTGACCCCGCTACTGATGAACAGATGAACGAAGAGTCAAAGATGGATACAAACTCTGAGTCACCGGGGAACATTGTTGGTAAAGTATTCGGCATTCAAGAGACAAACATCGGAAAAGGAGCAACAGATTTCAAAGCTAACTCTTCAGTTTCTATCGAGCACCTTGGTGTTGACAATAAAGGATATAAGAGTGAAACAGAATTGGGTGTTCCTGCGTTACAAAACAACAAGACCAAAACAGTTCCCCGAGTTACATCCGGTGACCTCGAATCTGCACGTCCAGTTTCGCCCAAACCTAAGACAGTACGAGCCTGGCTCAAGGATCCACATCTATATAAGGTGATTTAGGTTCTTGGTTTTTTTCTGCTTTTGCTTTTGCTTTTTTATATTGGGATTTGTAAGTTTTTCTGCATGGAATTAAAGTTACCCAACAGGTTCTGATCGAAAATTTTGTCTCTTTGTGATTTTTTCACGTAGGTGGCTATCATCTTCACGTGCACAATGTCTGTCATAAGCCTGGCGTATGCCTATCTTCCATTGTTTCTTATCTACAGAGTGCAGTTTGGAAAGGTAGGGGCCGAGGATACGATATATATATACTCACAAAAATTAGACACATAGCCAGTGCCACCTGCGCAAACTCATTTTCAGGAGCATGAAGCGTCTAGTACAAGTGCGGTTTTTATATACCGCACCCGTATTGGACACTATAGACCATATACCTTAATTCAAATAATTGGCCAGATATACTCAGATAGTGGCACTTGCTTTAATTCTATTAGTTCAATCTGCGTTTGGTAATACCTGCATGCATTAGAGATGGGTTGCTTTGAAAAGATATTCACGATCTTGTGTTCCTCTAAGACGTCGTCAGTAAGTAGCTGCTAGGTTTTTAATACTTTTTGCTCTACGCTTTGAACAGGAGGCCATAGCGTATTTGCCACTTATAATGTTGATAAGTGCAGCGTTGTCTTCGGCACTGTCCAAGAAACTTGTAGCCATAATTGGAAGCAAGGTAAGAATCATTTCCTAGATTTTTTGAAATTATTGTCCTATAAACGAAAAAGCGAAACGCACTTTTAGCAATGAAGAAATACATCTCTCTATCTTGTTCTGTCTTGGGTTTACGTACATTTCCAACTGAAATGGTCCAGTTGTGCTTCAGGAATGCTTGTTCGAAAATTGCGGTTTCATTGAAGGCGACCCCCGAGGGTTCCGTGTCGGTTTGCATAATGGGGCGTATGGGTGCAGTGTAACTGCATGCAAGGCCGTGTCCCAGGCGTCCTTTTAACTACACCAAAGCCCGCTACATTTCTAAATTTTTTCAAAACCGTAAAAACCTTGTTTGAAATTGAAATTGAAAACCTAATGTAAAAGACTACTCACAGTCCAACTTTTCTCTTAGATCCCGTTACTCACAGCTAACGCCTTCGTTTCTCGCCCCTCGCAACTTTGCCATCTCACCGCTCGAGCTTGCTACCGCCGTAACTCACTTGAAGAAAATAAGAGACTCTTTGCAGACTAAAAAAATATGTTTTTTCTTTCTTTGTATCTTTTGCACCTCTCATATAGAGATAAGTAGCTTTATTAGTTACGGGTCTTTATTATTTACGCTATGAATCTAGTACAATTAGTTGCTTGGCCTTTGACAAAAACACCAACATTTTTTAGTAAGTTAACTTTAATTACGTTAATTTTAAAACTGCGTACTTTGTTTTTGTTTTTTGTTCTAGTGGTGTTTTGTCCTTGCTGCCCTCTTCGTGATTACAGCTGGTGTATGGTTTTATTTCATCACCAAGTCCAACAGAGTAATGACCTACCCAGCCACTGTGTTACTGGGGTTTGGCTTTTCCGCCATGCTCGTGAATGCACTAAGCTTTGCTGCGGAACTCATTGGAGACAACAAAGTGAGTTCACTCATTTAAATGCCGCCGAAGAAAAGGACGACGATTAAGATTGATTTTTTACAATAACTACAAAGAATTGCCATGTAACACAATAACCCTTTGATTACAAAAATACTTACATTTTTCTCCTTTTTTGTGGAATACCAATTCTTCTGATCGGGTATTTTCTTTCTGCTATATAGAGCACATCTGGAATCGTATTTGCCTTTATGAGTTTAATGTCATACGTAACTGGCGGAATATTGATCACTACAATACAGAATTTGTTTCCTGAAGGAAGGTAATTGTGCACTTTGTAGTCTAAAAATAATTTTCAGCTTTTTCAATCTATGTGTCAGAGAGTGACATCAACCGTCAATCAAAACATACCAAGCATAACTACAATGGTACTCTAAGGCCTCAGGATCTAATGGATTTACCTGGGGGAATTCATAACTATGGCTATAACTTCGGCACAGATGGAGCTGAATCAAAACTTGGCGCCGGCACAAAAAAAACTCATTGTCCTTAACATTTTAAAGTATAAATAGTGTGTTAATAAATCATGTGATATTTCACGCGTGACTATTTTTCTGAAAGTAAGTTCAATAATTGAGAAACTGGTGGCGAAATCAAGAAATAACACTGATTTTCTTCACTTGTATTAAATATTTCTATCACTTCACGTTTGGAATGACTGTTCATATGCACTTTGATAAAAATTTTTGAGGGAAAAAATCATTTTAAAAGCCCAAATTTAATCTTGAATTACTTGAAACTTTCATTTTAGACTTCATTCCAAACTTAGAAAGAAAAAAATATGTTTTCCTCCTATCAGATTCCAATTTACTTATGCAAACAAAGTAAATTCGCCACCAATTAGCCAATTTCCCTCAGGTTTAATTTTTTTGGTCTCGTAACATATCACGTGACCATAATGTTGAGGCACAAGAAGACCTCGAGATGAACTTTTGGGGAAAAATGCATCTTGTTCTTGGAATCGTAGCGAGAAAAATTGCCAATTAATCATATGCTCAAAACACCCTTTGGGCCTTGAGTTATTAACTTCTTCCAAACAAGGTCTGTTCGGTAAACTTCCGAAGATATGCCGAACGACCGCATGCCGAGAGTGGTCAACTCGAAGGCAATGACCCACCTTTTAGCAAGCAATGGCCGAAAAAGTATAAGCCATAAGATGCCAGACCAATAGGGTAATGATCTGTTATAGAGTATACTGTAATGCACGATGGGATCATAATGCAGACTAGCCTGCGATAATACTCTCTGGGAGGCTCAAAGGGGAGGAATAAGGGTGAGGGGTCTCGGAGACTTCACTCGCATGCTGAAGCGGATATGATACGGTTTGTCAAATTTTTAATCTGACGTTCAGTCGCTCGAGGCCCGGCCTCGTCCGTCTTGTTCTTTGTCTGGCCAGAAATTAACTTCTAATATAAATAGAAACGTCTCGGTAAAGAGTCCTTAAGTCAAAAAATACCACACGAATTTTTTGGCTGCAACACTGATTGACCATCCTTGGCCCATTTATATTGATCGCTTTTTTCAGTTATGATGTTATTAGGCTCTTGACCACAGAAAAGAAAACTTCATGAATATACAGACATTGGATTATTTCAGACTGCTTCGTTTATTAGTCCTCGTTAAGACCAAAAGAGCATTTCCTCCACTACAACCAAACAATTCTATTCGCAGGAAATCAGGGATAAGAAAACAGCAAAAATTTAACATGCTTGAGAAACTGACTCTTCGCAAATTGAGTTTATTTTTTCTTTGCAGTAACGATGAAAACTGCGACGAGTGTGGAGACTACGTACGTCACGTGTTTTCGTTCGTACCAGGCTCTCTCGCTGCCATTAGTTTGTTGGTTGTTTTGCTGTTCCATGCTTCAAAAACCATTTGCAAAGAAAATGGTGAGATTTGTTATTATGATACTTTTGGAGTTATTGTTA